CAGGTCTTTACCTGTGTGATTTTGTTTGATTGGGTACAGCAGGTCCATTGCACAGTACAAAGAGTATGGACAGGCAGTACCTATTAAAACAAACTCACACACCATCATGCTGCATATCCATCCCCGGCTGCTGGGATCATTGTGGTCAGAAACGAAAGATCGTCCTTGTTATGGTATTGATTACATAATACTACATACTATCATACTTATCATTTCAATGGGAAGCTTTCTCTCATTACATAATCTTTAAAAATACAGTACACATTTGAAATTCTTGATGGTAAAAAGTGAGAGGGCCACAGTACCCGTTCAGTCAAAATTCAACAGGGTATGTGCAGGCCCACAGTACCCATTCACACAAAATTAAACACCAGATAGTAAGCTACCAATACCCAACGCCACAAACTCACACACTTTTCTGGTGTTGAATTCTCCGTGGTTAGGGAAGGTTAGGGTTAAAAACCAGTGCTATCAAAGGAATATTTATGGAAGGGGGGTTCAGGGAATTTAGGAATCCATTGCAAATTGAATTTTGAAATTCAAGAGTCTTGGTCAGTTTCTGGAGGCTTGAGTCTCAGTTGGGCGAAATCTTAATTGGAAGTGGAAAGGGGTAGCTTCACCAACATGAAAACCTCTCTTTTCTTCATGTTCTTGGAGTAAATCCATCAGTGTTTTTCCAGTGATAGGAACTTCTATTTTTGCCCTACAAGGCTTGCCATAAAGATTCTGTCTGTGCTGGATTTTCTTAAAGTTTCCCTAGCGCCAAGCTAGACGGGGTGAGATTTGTCAGGATTTTTCCTGATACCAGTATTTTTTCATCAGGTTTTCCCTGATTTCAGGATTTACCAAACAATTTCTTTAAAATCTGGTAAATCCTGGTTTATTATTTTGGTGTTTTTACATATAAAATATAACATAGAACACAAGGAGTGCCTTTATGCCAACACAAATGTATATTAAAGACCCTACACTGTCATGGGGCCCTCAAGCCATCGGGTACTTATTTCATGGATTTTTCACTTTCCTCTTATCTAACCCCTGGCTAGATAATGCTACAGTGTCAATTCCCAGAAGGCCTATTTAGTTTGATCATATTTCAGATATTATTTGTCATGTTTAAAGTATATTCTAGGGAAGAGAGAAGATATACATGTATTTGTTTAAAAATGTGTTGTTACCAAATCAACTTTTTTTTAAGAGAGGATTTCCCTAGAAGCCATGATTACAACCAGTTTTTCATGTTGATTTTGAAACAGCAATTTTCAATAAATCCCTTAATTTGCACACAAGTATCTCCTTTAACAAGTTGCAGATAATATTATTCCACGTCACACTTGTCCCAGTGTTTTGGTCAAAAATACAAAGTTTTGAATTGACAAGAGACCACATCCACAATCCTTTATGAAGCTGGACTACTCAAACGCCGACTCTGAGTGGTCATTTGTTTTAAGACTTGTGTAACATTTCTCACAAATCACATTTGTGAAACTCCAAGACTGTGTCCCACCATACACCCCCAACCTCCACAGGCTTTGTCAAGCCACTGTGTGTTATCCAGACCCAGTAAGAATTACTCAAGCTTTAGGATGAATGTAGACTTCCTCTATGTTATTTTACACAGGAAATCCTTGCGTGGAGTAGATATGAATTTTTTTTTTTTTTTTTCACATTAGGGAGAACCAGATTCTCTGGCGTGAGGTGGTTTATCTGCGTCAGCGTCATGAGAAACAACAGAAGATTGTCAGTCGTCTCCTCCAGTTCTTACTCACAATGGTCAAACCAGTGGGACTTAAGAGGAAACAGTAAGTAGCCCCAGAAAGGCGGGACTTTTCCATTTTCTCACACAGAATAACCCTCCTATGCTGAAGTCACTCTTTGGGTCACTTGGTAAATACCTCAAAGAAGCACAGCTGTGTCGTGTTGTGCACTGCACCAACAGTCCCTCACAGGAATATCAGATTGCTTCTTTGTGCTGTCCAACAACTGTGCCTCACTGTTTCATGTGCATCATTGTGCAGTAAACCAAATGCCGTGAAGAGGACTGCACAAAAGACCCTGTGTCATTTTGTGCTGGCAACCAACTATGTACACGCTGAACCTGTGCATGTTCACCACTGTTCACCCTTGCAATTTACATAGTTCAAAATCTTGTCATTAATTTGTTACTGTTGTCATTAATTTGCACAGACAACTGATGATAGAGCCAGCCCAAGACCCCAGCAAACCCAAATACTCCAGACTGGCCAGCCCAAGAGACAACATCCAAGTCATTGAATCTGTAAGTTCCACCTGTCAGGCGTGTGTGTGTGTCTCCGTTGAATATGTTTGCACTAACGAGGGTCTGGGTGTTAAGCCATGTCCAAGTTATTTGGCCATGGCTGGCAGTGTAACACGAGTCTGTGGGAATATGGGCAATTCACAGTAGTGTGCCTCCAAGAGCTTGCAAGGTGTTGGCCAATCACAATGTGTGAAATCTGTCGACCCTTTCCAAACGCGCATTGGGTCGACGGATTTTGTGCATTATGATTTGCCAGTGCATTGCAAACTCTTGGAGGCACACTATTGTGAAATGCCCGTATTGGCTGCAGCCACTATTTAACAGCTTTTAAAGATGCTATAGACTTGTATCGTGATGTTGCCATGTTTGTCTTGTTCCCTGTAGACCCACTGCAGTAGTAACACAAGTTCACCTATTGAAAAAAGGGAACAGACTATTTTCCTTTTCAGCTTCAGTTTGGTTACATTGGTTTGAATGGTAGAAAAGCAAGATGGCTGCCCCATGGTAGAGGTCTATTCCCAGTCATGGGCAAGTAACTCAGTCACGACCTAAGAAGAGTGATGTGGCGAGTTCCCAGACCTTCTGTTGCATCATGAACCATTGAAGGAAGAAGTAGGAACCCGACTAGTGCAGAACACTAGCCTCAACAGTTGCTCATAGAGTTATTGTGAACACCTTAAAAGTCCCTTCAAGTGATACAGATCTCCTTTCAAAGCCTTTCACATTTCCTTGGTGCTTTAGGACACTGCAGTTTTCCAATGCACTGAGGACATCACACTTTGTTTACATACGCACTTTCTCAAGAGCTAGGAGGGGACAACAGATTCAAAGCTCTGTAGGAGAGTATTCAATTATTGATATAATCAGTACATGTGTGTAGACTTGTTCACAGTTTTAACACCATAAACATTTCAATAGAAGGTTTCATATGGCTTTGCATGTTGTTATGAAATTTAAGTTAAATAGCAGCAGGGTTAACAAGTCAAAATCATCAGATTCCAGTTCCAAGCCATGCTTTGCATCTTTTAAACTTTGAGCGATCACTTATTTCAAAATTTCAGGTTCCATTTGACTCAGGTCTGGTCAGCCTGTCCACAGATAACGTTCTCTCCTCCGGGGCTGTCTTGTCAGACATTACTGATGCCCCGGCAGCCACCGGCCAGCCCTTGTCCAGCCCTGGCATTGAGCCGGGGACGGCTGCCGTGTCTGATCTGACCCCAGCCACCCTTGACCCGTCCCTGTTTGAGCTGGAAATCGCCCCCGCGTCTGCAGACACTGCTGCTGAAGGCACAGCCGCCTCACCCATCGTGACATCACCAGCTAGCCTGGAACCTGGCAGTGCTAACCTCTCACCCCCAAGCGGTGGTGGGGATGGCGGGATGTATGCCAGCACGGACTGGCCGCTGTCAGAAGGCGACAGTCAGGTGGACTCAGGTATGACTGCCTGGTTCAATGGAGAGGACGACGACAGTCAGGTGCCCGATGTCACTGGAAATAGCCCAGGATCATCTTTGGGTCAGACCACAGATTATTCATTGGGGACAACAGCCAGCTCTGGCTCCAAGGCTATCATGAAGAGAATGCTGTCACATGAGGAGCAGAGGTAAGCTGGTACTAAAAGAAAAAAGTTGTGACGTGAGAAAAGCTGCTTAGCAGTTTATCGAGGATTTTCCCAATCACCAGCCAAAAGGATGTGATAAAAGCAATTTCTTCTGATTTGTGTTTGTGGTCAGACTGCACTTTAGCCAGCAAAATGAGTAGATTTTTACTATTTAAATTTGGACATCTTGCTGGCTAAAACCTTCAGTGGTTATACATTGTCCCTAATCCGCAGGATTAGGGACAAAAATCCTCAAAATGTCTCCGTGTAAAACATGGAAACAGCCTCACTCCTCCAAAATTTTCTGTTGTTTCTTGACTGTGTTCATTAGAGGGGTTGCCACTGCCGCAATCTCTCAAAATACTCCCGAAATTCCCATCATTATATAGAGGCAGTATCCTGGAGCAGTGTAGGTGATTCCACATGTGAAAGATTTATTTCCCAAATGTGATATATCCTGAAACTGAAACTGTTTCAACTAAATGAAACTGGCTGTTGGCAACCGGGAGAGGGTTAGATTCTAGAAGGTACCAAAATGGCACTTTATACAATCAACTCTGCATATAATCTAGACTTAAAGTATGCACGGCTGAGCAGAAAACAACACCCATTCTAATCAAAGACTTTGACACAATGCATGCTTCGCAATCAGCGAGACTTTTTTGCTATTCAACCTCAACCAGAACTGTCCGAAGAATTTTGGAGGATTGAGAGAGCTCCCGTTTATGTCCCTGAGATGTAAAGTTTCTCTAATGTGAGCAAAATAAGGTGTTCAACTGGCTTGGGGAGCTAAAATATGCTGAGAATGACGCTGGAAACTGGAAGTTTCTGATATGTTGGCCTCATTTGTGACTTTGTCATAATTTTATCATACAGAGACCAGCACTTTAATGCTTGTCAAAGTTCCTGACCCTTTTTTTCCCTTGATACCAGGGGCGAGATTGGGGAGCATGTCAACACAGTGCAGGAAAACCTGGATTTAATCCAGAACATGCTGACATCCATGGGCAGCACGGGAGCCTACAATTTTGACATGGATTCGTTGATGCAGGTGGGTAGTAAGTGGAGTGTGTCTGAGACAGACTTGGCCACAGCCAGCAGCACAAAAGGCGTGCCCCTTCAGGTTTCCATTGTTGCTGGTGCTAATCTGAGCCATAGCTGATTCTTTTCGGACGTAGCCCTAGCCCAAACTTGGCTTTGGACGGGAGAAGGCACACTGTTACTGAAATGCAGCATCCCTTCTGAAGACACATCACACAAGAGCACACTTGCGTGTTTTGGCATGGAGTACGCACACGTCCAAACATGGGCAAACATTGAAAGAGCTTTGCATGGGCAGTGAGTGCAGGGTAACAGATGGGTTGACGTGTCACCCCAGGCTTGTAGTACTGAGGGATTCTGCACCACAAGCCTTGGAGGAGCCTGGATGCACATGATGGCATGAGGTATGATCACATGGTGATTTCCAAATGTGGCCAAAGTCTGTGAGACATTGTTGATCGAATAGGAAAGTTTTGGGTGTGAAATAATCATGTGTTAGTGTCAACAGTCAAAGTTTGGTTTGGCCTGTAAAAAGTCAGGCATAAAATAAGCTGTTAATTACAGTTGTAGTTGAGTCCATCACCAGTTGCCTCGTCTAAAGGAAAGTCACAAACTCTTCAGTTGAACTGTGTCAAAAGCACTCCTTTGTCACTTTTCACCCTGTTACTTGTGAGTGGTCTCATGTGACTGGGCTTGTGAAAGGACTCGCTGAAGGACTTGCAATAGGATTGGACTACAACGTCATATCACGTCTTAATGCATATACACGTGGAGACCAGGCAGGTCTCATTTGATCACAGCTGGCTGACCATGTCAGGTGAAATATGTCAGGGCAGTGGAGACATATTCATGACAGGCCAGGAAGAGTGTTTAAGTTTGGATGACTTACCCGGTCTGCTTACCTGTAGAATTAAAGTTCAAACATCACTGTCTTGACTTACAGTGGTTTTCGTTCTTTATTTCAACAGATATTCAACTCAGACTCAGGTGACAAAACCAATGATACGGTATGTCAGTGCCGCTTTAAGTGGCTAAGCTGCAGTGCACTGCACAACACTGCTGCCATGCATTTCTGCACCCTCTGTAGCATAGTTTGAAATAAGACATTGCAGTCTTTTTCCTTAGCCTGACAATCCCCTCTGCCTCTTAAGAAAACAGTGTAGGCTTGGTAACCTCTATTGCCAAAAATAGAAGGTCTGCAAAGGTCAGCCCTTGTCGGAGCTTGTTGGACCACGACAGTTTACATGTGATGTTGATCCTTGTTCCCAGAACTGAATTATGGCTAGGGTAAACTTCTCTTTCATTAAACCAAACAATTTTAAGATTTCATACTGGCTCGGCAGTTAGTCTGTTGATAAATATAGCAGTCGTACATTTGTGGACACCAAGCATCAGCTCTAGTTTGCAAATGTCATAGCAGTTTGGCAGTTTAGAAAGCCCATTGGTCTGGTCATGGGACACTATGGCTACCACAGGCATAAGGGCAGGGAACCAGCCCCCCAAAAATGAATAAAGTGGATCCCACCTGCCCATCAGTGCATTGGCAGTTGCAGCAAATAGAGCGTACAGACTATTATTGAACTGTCCATAGAAGGCACCATTGGAGTTGCGTGGAGATGTACGAACCAGCAGCTAAATCTTCAGTCTGATTTCCACACCTGATAGTCACCAAGGCCTCTTGATAAATTGATCAATTTTTTCCAATCAAAAAATGTGGGGGGGGAGCAGGGAACAACAGCAACAAAACCAAAAAATCAACCCTTAAACTACTCTGAAGAGAATGCGCACTGAATTCTCAAAAGATGGCTATTCAGGGCTTATTCACACTTCAGGCAAATGGGAAAGCAAATTTGGCGCCACAAAACATTTGAAGCAAATTTGCCCATGCAAATTCGCAGCGTGAATATTTGATTTGACGTTACATAATTGTGTTCATGCTTGCTTTAATGCCAAGCATGAACTGGCCTTTACTCGGGCAAAATAATTTGGTTTCAACTAGAATCCTTTTGTTTCTTGACTGACTAGGATCTGTTTCCAAACCTGACTAGCTCTATTCCCCAAAGCAGTGGGAGCCAAGACAATCAAGAGGATGTCAGAGGTGAGAAAAGGAAATGTGAGATGTGTGATCCCTATCCTACTCTTAACCCTAACTCCCCCTGGCCCTTTTTACTAGGCACCCTTCTCAATCCTCCAGAATCCTCCATTTTGGGGGGGGTGAAAATATTGGATTCTCCCTCACTCCTCCAAAATCCTCCAAAATTTCTTTGTAAATGTTACTTGGAGGTGTACCTACTACCTCAATCCTTCAAAATCCTCTGGCAGTTCCTGGCATTATGTTGAGGAACTGCGAATGGCATTCTTGAGCAATGCCGTTGATTCAAAAGAAATATCGGGCTGAATTTATGTATGACTGAGCAAGAACAACGCAAGGTCTAACCCATGACCTTCACTCATGGCATCCTTCGCAATCAGCCATGCACTTTTGCCATTCACCCTCAATCCTCTAAAACCACCCAAAGGATTTTGGAGGATTGAGAAGGGTTAGGGTTAACTGTCAAGGTGATTGAATGCAAGTTGGGACAAAAAACAAATATGCCACTGTACTTCATGGCCTGGTGTGAGTTGTACAGCGTCACTTGTGGTCCTACCCTGTCTGGCTCGTACAGTACTCCAACTTATCAACATGTAGCTACGATGGCTGAAGACAGTATTAATGGAGTAGAACATGACTGTTTGGTTTTTCCTCCAAATTTCTTTGTGACTCAGCTACTGAATTGATATAGGCTGCACAGTTTGAATGTGTAATACCAGGAGATGCTACGACCTGGGGGGGGGTTGTGAAAGAAATGTTGTCAGTACAAAACTCAAAGTGCTTGTCTCCTTGTCATCCAGGGAATGAGGTGGTCCAGTATGTGTCGTTATCCTCCCCATCATTTACTGCAGAAGATGAGGACTCATTGCTGAGATCATTGGATGATGATGCAGCTGCTTTGGCCAAGCCATACAGCAAGCTGAAAAACTGACCAGGCGAGATGTAAGGGGTTGGCGCAGGGCCAGTGCATTTGAAAGGCGATTTGTTCTCGTTTTGTGTGCATACATCAGTTTGTCAGTCCCCTCTTAAGTTACTAGATGTCCGTACATAGCAGCATTCTGATGCTGGAAAAGTTGTTTTTAGGAAGGTGTTTTTAGTTTTAAACCAATGATTCCTTTAATCCCAGAAGTGTCCAGAACCATAAGTACCCTGTGTTGCCTACAGTTCAGCTGATGTTGGTTTGACTGTTAAATCCTATGGCTGATGTTTATTTGGAATACAAGCTATCAGTATCAGATTAGTTAACATAAACAGTGCCCCCAAAAATGAAAGTAATTGGCATACCAAAGACAAAACTTGACTGGCTCCCTTAACCCTCCTATGCTGAAGTCACTCTTTTTTGGTCATTTGGTGAACACCTCAAAGAAGCACAGCTGTGTTGTGTTGTGCACTGCATT